CAGATTTTCAGTGAAGCATCAGTGCTGTGTGTCGCACTGTATAAGGCCATCCAAGGGCTCTCTATATGCTAACTTTTAAAAAATAATATAATACTTTACTGTTATGAGAGGTGTACCTTGGTAAAAGATGACACAAGCAGTTTATTCTCTGTGTTCAAAGATTATTTAAAGACTGCTGCAAGACTGTGACATACCTGATTGCAGCTTTTCTTTGCTACAGCTGGCAGTAACGATTCTGGCTGTTGTAATCTGAAGAAAAAGGCAAATGCAAACTGAAAGGAGTGATGAAGATTTTTGCCCTAAAACTTCCATGATAACAGCTGACAGGGTTACGGCCATAGATTGAAATTCTCTGGAATGCAGTGTTGTCTTAAGTTCTCACAGATGGTGAGTGTAGTAAATGCTGAATTCTACACAATTCAAGGGAGGAGTACACTGATTTATGCAAATAAATACCTGTTTCTTTTCTTGTTTGTTTTTTTTTTTCTTTTCTTTTTTCTCTGTATTCTAAGCAGTAAGGTATGGAATATGTATTCTTGGTGTCATGGAGCACTTGTTTCCTTTAGTCTTAATTTTCAGCATGATCCTCTTAACTTCTCTATGTATTTCTGTTTTCAAACACATGCTATAACTGTAATAACTTGTAATGTGTGTTTTTTTCCCAAGGAACCCATGTAGCTGAGCTAACTAAAGAAAATACAAGGGATCTTTTCTCACACCTTTGTGTGACTTAAAACGAGCATAATTGGTATCCTTCACCTGTCTGTGAGAATGCCGAATCATGCATTAGTGAGTGAAGGAAATTAAACAGGTGCAGACTTAGAAGCAGAAACTAATCCAGTGCTGGCAGACACACAGCTTCATCTTGTAGTTATATGATGCTTCCCTGCTGCTACTGTATGATGTCAGTAAAATTACATACCAAATGTGTTTTGTCACCTTCTATTCTTGTCTTTTTAGGTGCAAAAAGAGCATTCTTAAAATATAATTTTAAACATAAGTTTCTTTTGAAACCTAATGAGAAATGTTAAATGCATATCACTATCGTGTTCACAGGTTACTTAAATTAAGAGTTTTCTTTGAAGACGCAGGGTCATCCTCTACTAGTCTATTGGTGTTACAGTCTAAGTTTGTTGTGTGAGGCGATGATGAATAAACATAATGCAGACACAAAGAGGATTGATACGATTGTTCTGAATGTGGCTGGATCTTTTCCTACAGAAATAGACAGGAGGTTAATTTAGTGTCCACTTCTGGCCAGTGCTTTAAAACTTTTAAGTGTTCAGCCAATTTCTTGGACACATAATATCTGGGAAAACCCTAACCACTTTAATCTACTTATGTGGAGGATTGAGAGAGGACCTGTTTATAGGCAGGTGCCCAAAAGTGGGCTTAAATTCTACAAAACTTTAACCTAACATTGCACTATCCTACAGCCAGGGGTGGAAGCTAAAGCAAGACAAAATGCTTTACTTTTTAACAACGAGAGCACCTAATGTTTCTATGAGTTGTCTTAGTTTTCCTTACTCCCCCAGATGCTTGAGCTTGCATAGAACAAATCAAATTGTTTTAATTCTGAACTGCTGTACTGGGGGCTTGGACCTAAAGAGCACAGGTTACCTTTGTATGTGCTGAAATATGGAAGATACTAGATGTGACTTCTGACTAAACATACATGAATTTTTTTTTCTTCTGGTAATTCTATAAAGAATTGTTACGTGATTTAAAGTAGTTATATTCTCATTACTTTAGGAAGGAAAGCTTCCTTTTGATTCTCTGGTTAACTGTAGAGATATTTTTTTCTTTAAAGCATGTAGTGGATATGTCCACAGTTAATCTATGTTTTAGAGTACCTTTCTGCTTCAGTTTAATGCTACTTGCCTCACTCCAAAAGAGGAGAGGTTAGGGAGACTTCAATTTGGACAAAGCTGTTAAAATATGGGAGGTTTCTTATTAGTCTTTTCGAACTGTAGTGATCTTCCAGGACTGTTTCAGAAATGCTTCAACCATAAATCATATTGTCTTGAAAGATCTAGTGGCCTGCCAGCATTGATGAATAATTGAGTATTGTTATAGTATAGTAC